TCAGAGTATCAATTATATAAAATATAATTTATTGTTATCATCAAAACTCTGAGATATGATCAGAACCAATATTGTTCTAACAAAAAGTATATACAAAATAACTACACTTTTGCACTTATCATCAACCTGACTAATGGGTAATTTATTGCTATCATCATTGAAATCAACATGGTTGATGAATCTGATGGTTGGTAGATAGACACCGGCGTCTCTTGCCATGTTTGTTATAGCCGTTTTATGTTTAAAACATACACAAATACTAAATATAAGAAAGTGTTGTTGGGAGATGGCCACACCACTAATGTTGTTGGAATTGTAGACATGGAGTTGAATTTCACCTTCGAAAAGACTTTAATCTTAAAGAACGTCATGCGTGCATGTTCTTAAGATTAGAAAGAATATTGTTTCTGGTTTTCTTTTAAATAAGGCACAATTTAGTCAGTCTATTGGGGCAAATTTGCACATCATCACAAAGAATGATATTTTTGTGAATGAAATTGATATGTTTAAAAACTTTATACAAAATTTGAAAATGATATAGTAAGAATTTGTAGTGACAGGGAAATTGTATGATTCTTATTTATTTAATGAATTTTATAAACAACATGAAATTATACATGAAACAATTGCACCATACTATCCTTAAATGAATGGTAAATCATAAAGAAAGAATGGGCTCTTACTGAACTTGTTGTTGCAATTATATTGAATTCTAGTGTTGCACCTCATTGGTGGGGATAATTATTTTGACTCTTTGCTATGTCCTGAATCAAGTTCCCAAGTCCAGAGTAAAATATCTCCTTATGAGATATTAAAGAAAAGACAACCAAACTTGTCTTATTTAAGAACTTGGGGCTATTTGGCTTATGTCGGAATTCTGGATCCGAAGCGAGTTAAACTCGCTAGTAGAGCCTATGAATGTCTATTCATTGACTATGCAGCAAAGAATAAGGCATATAGGTTTTATGATCTAAATGCTAAATTGGTCATAGAATTAAAAGATGTTGAATTCTATGCAGACAAATTTCCTTTCAAATTGAGAAATAGTGGAGACACTGAATCGAATCACATTCACGTGATAAGAAGCACTGAAAGCAACAACGAAGTAGAAATAAAAATTTGATGAAGTATAAAAAGTAAGAGTTTATAAAGACTATGGGACCTATTATGTGGCTTATAATGTAGAAGAAGATCCAATAAATCTTCAAGAAGTCTTGTAACCTCTGGATGTAGATTTATGGTAAGAAGCTATTAATGATGAGATATAATGTCTAGAATCTAACAAAACCTAGAACTTAGTAGAGTTTCCTCCTGGATGTAAACCAATCGGTTGTAAATGGATTTTGAAAAAATAAACTAAAACCTGATGGAACAATTGATAAGTACAAGGCTTTCCTTGTAGCCAAAGGTTTCAGGAAAAGAGAAAATATAGATTTCTTCGATACTTTTTCTCAATCACTCGAATTACATCCATTAGGATACTAATTTCAATAGCCGCTATTTATAATTTAATAGTACACCAAATGGATGTTAAAATAGTTTTTTAAACGGTGACTTAGAAGAAGAAATCTATATGGACTAACCCGGAGGGTTTAAGATTCTTGGGGTAAGAAAACAAGGTCTGTAAGTTAGACAAGTCTTTGTATGGGCTAAAATAAGCTCCAAAGTAATGGCATGAAAAGTTTGATAACTTAATGATATTGAATGGGTACAAAGTGAATAAAAGTGACAAATGCGTTTATTACAAATTTGAGAATCGCGTTTGCACTATCATATGTCTATATATAGACGATCTACTCATATTTGGATCAAATATTCAAACCGTTAATGATATGAAATCATTATTGTGCAACAACTTTGATATGAAAGACCTCGTAGAAGCGAGTGTGATTCTTGGTATCAAGATTACGAGATCCGAGAAAGGAATTTATTTGGACCAATCATACTATGTAGAGAAGATCTTAAATAAATATACTTACTTTGGCAGTAAACCTGTGAGAACACCATATGATCCAAGTGTAAAGCTGTTTAAGAACACTGGTGAAAGTGTTAGACAAATAGAATACGCGAGCATCATTGGAAGTCTTAGATATTTTATTGATTGTACTAAACCCGACATTGCATATGTCATGGGATTGTTGTGCAGGTTTACTAGTAGATCGAGTAATGAACATTGAAAAGATATTAAGAGAGTCATATGGTACCTTAAAATGACCATGAATCTCGGTTTGCATTATCAAAGATTTCTTGTTGTACTTGAAAGATACAGTGATGCAGATTGGAATACCTTATCAGATGATTCTAAAGAAACTAGTGGTTATGTATTCAACATAGTTGGAGGAGTTGTATCTTGGAAATCAAAGAAATAGACTATCATGTCTCAGTCCATGATAGAGTCAGATGATAGCATTAACGAATGCTAGTGAAGAAGCAAGTTGGTTAACATGTTTGCTAGCTGAGATCCCTTTATGGGAAAAACCTATGCCATATGTGTTGATCCACTGCGATAGTACCGCGACTATTGCAAAAATAGAGAATCGTTATTATGATGGTAAAAGATATCAAATTAGATGAAAAAAACAACAATGTTAGAGACTCTATCTCTAAAGGAGCTGTAAGAGTGGATCATGTACGCACTAATGAAAATTTAGCAAATCCTTTGACGAAAGGATTAGCTAGAAAGAAAGTCTATAATACATCATATAAGATGGGACTAATGGCTACAAGAATATGAGTTTCTCATAATAGTAACCCGACCTAAATGACTAGAGATCCCAAGAAATAGGTTAAATGGGTAATAACAAGTTGTGAGTAATATGAGATGATCATGCAAGTAAAGCATGAATCATGAAGTAATAAGAGTATGAGATAATAGAAACACTTAATGAGATATATACTATGTATGAGGGAGTACCTAGGCTACATGAGTACTCTTGATAGACTCACTTATGTGATTGTGGAACTTAGTCCGGTTCCTATGAAATTTTGAGGCGAAATTCCTAGAGTCTTCACTAAACCGGGGTACACGTGCATGCCCATTAAAGCACGGGCTATTAGAATACACCTTAAGAAAAGGTTGTGTGCAAGTTTAATGTCTGAGATAGAGTTCAAGACATTTGTGTCACTCTTGTTGAATTGGAATCGTACTTGCTACACAAAGGTTCGAGTTGTATACACCTTTGTTTATGCACAATCTTAGAAACGTTTGAAGTTAATTCTGAAACACTTTTAAATTCAAGTGGGGGATTGTTGAAACATATTCATGTTCCAATATGTTGAATTTAAAAATTTCTTAAGTCCCACCTTGTTAGAATTTATTTTTTGTGGTTGAAACAATCCATTAGTCCCACATTGTTTAGGTGAGAAATATTAACTAGCTCACTTCATTATATAAAGAAATTCCTTATTTCATTCCAAAACACACCAAAAACTATTTTTATTAGTTTTAGTTTTTCCTTCCTCACTCTCATAACTATGCGTCATTCGAATTGTCAAAGCGCCAACTTATCCCTCTTTCTTTCTACTCGTTGAATTTTCCGAGTACTTTTTTGAATTTTCTTTTGAGAATAATGTTAATTTCTTCTCGTTTGAGTCTAGAAATTATCTAATATAATTTTTGGATTCTATTCAGAGAATTAATTGAAATTTCTCCTTGTTTGAGAAATTCTTTTGAATGGTCAAATGACCATTATTGAATTCTCTTTAGAGAATTATTGAAATTTCTCTTGGTTTGAGAAATTATTATACCATCTTCGAATGGTCTTAGTACCATCAGATGATGTATTTTTAGACCGATTATCTACCATTTAAGTAGTAATCATACAATATAGAACTGAGTTGTTTTATCTTGAAAGCAGCGCAGTAGTTCGAAATTCGACTGCTTTGTATAATTTTATGCAGTGTCACGAAACGTCTTAAAGAGAGTGACCTAGTCTGCGACTCGACCCAATAATTTCTTTAGCGGCAAATTTTTCAAAATCGTGAAATAACTGTATCATAATTAGTGAGTTGATCAAATAATATATATGTATTCTATTCACATAAATGAGAAAATGCAAACATTCCATTATCTTATAAATATTATATTCTATCAAAATGTGAATAGTGTGCTTTGCTACCAAATTGAGAATAGGTTTTGGTACTAAATAACTTGAAAGAATAGCTCTTAGTCTTGTACTCTTATTTTTATTGAAAAATGTACAACGAGAATATCATATTCAAATTTAAAGTCTTCATTTTTTTCTTTCTCCACCTCCCAATTATTTAGTGTAGAGATACATGATATTCTAGAAGTTCCAAAATAGAGGAAAATTGTACTTCATACATTATGAGCATCAAAAGCATCAGTCAAAGTAGTTTTTGAATTTAACAAATGCATTAGCATCTTTCATATTCATATTAAATTTACATAAACATACATTGTTCCTAATAAAGAACAATCTACCTTCCTGTGTTGGATTCTTGACAAACAGTTAACACAATACTAAGATGGAATAATGTATTACTATTACTATAGAATTAACATTCTTCAAAATTTGAACATTATTAGACTTCAGATTGAAGCATTTTTTTAAGAACCTGAATGTCACACTTTGATACATCTCAGGCTTTTGTTTATTATTATACATTCTAGTTGGAATTATGTAGATTGAGAGGGACTATTGCATCACAACCTTTTGTCAGATATTCGTTCGTATTCAGCGCAAGAAAACTACTTAATCTAGTTAGTATCTCATGAGTTGCAGGAGAGCCAGATACTAAGTTTCTCCTTCTCTATGTCTTACATTGATCAAGATTATTAGCATTGGTGTCTGTCATAACATGCGCACTGCATAAGCACGAGTTCTTTCCTGCAAAAATATCATCTTTTTTACGTTTGAACTGAGAAATGTTGTGCGTGATTAAATGGAAAGATTCGGTGAATATATGCTATATGCAAATGGAAGAAAGTGATGGTGAATATATATCATGAAACAGAAAGCATACCTGTCAAAAGCATTTTAAGTAATCCGGAGAGAGCAAGAAGAACCATTTTCTTGCTTCACCTGCAAGGCTCGTCTCTGATGCTCAACGCGCTGAAGTTGTGACGAAAGTTGAAGCAAGTCAATGGTTGTGCCGTCTTCACTCGAAAGATGACCTTTAACATTGACAAAATCGGACCCTTGAAAAATCCGATCTGCCATTTCAAAATGGACTATTTCATTATTGTCTGATATCAGTATAGGACTGAGATGATTTCCGTCTGTCGGATTTAATTCAGATGGAAACCTATCCGACACACCACTTGATGCTTGTGAACTCATTCCTATCATCTTATCGGAAACCTGACTCATGTTATAATGGTTATGGCTGCTCGGAATGACCAGATGACGCGGCACGGGAATTCCTGACGATTGGCTTGAAGAGTTCTGGGATTGAGATGACAGAAGAGAGAGAGCACAACCACCATCTGATACTCCCGAAGTTTCGAAAACATTGAAGTCTTCGCTTCCTAAGGAGGTATCATGGAATAATGATTGTGATCTGGAATTTGAGCCTTCGAGGATAGGAGGATATTGACTATTGTCTTCACAGAAGATGCTTCCTGTAGCAGACGTAGGAGCATTTTCATGTAAAAAGGGAAATTGTTTATCGCTATACGAAGGAAATAGAGTTCTTGAATGAGGATGTGCATTGGTCATTGGAATAGAAGAAAGAGGCCTAAAACCAGTTCCGGTTCCGTCTTCGGCTTTTATAGGTCTCCACCAGTTACTAGTGCCACATCTCTCGGAAGAAAAGACCTCGCTGGGGAGTATATCTTGGCATATAAAAGATGCCGACGTTAGCATGCTTCCTTGGAATCTGCTATCTGTGAAAACCAAATAATCTTAAGATAAGACAATTATACTAATATAAGAAGAATGAGTAATAAGTAAATAAAACTGATATGGATTATAACGGCGAATATACATTCTTAAAATCTTAAACAATATGGTTTGGAAGGATCAGGACTCCCGCCCGTGAGATTTTCACGAGCGAAAGTCCAGTGGATTTCCTCACAATTCGAAGACTATTATTTCACCACATGCGGTTGAGATTTCACTGCAGAAAACTTTCAATGCAGAGGATATGTTACACGGGTTTCGTAATCTTAATAATCAGGAAAGGTACTGAATAATTATCAAAAATAAGCCGATAGCATTTTGTTTCAGATATGATTCCAATATTATTGTTGAATAGTCACTTATGGATCACATCCACCATGTGATTAAAGAATCCAATTTAAAGCTAGCTTTATACCAAAGATGACAAATGATAAAGGATGGTTTAAAACCAACAAAAACGGGAGAATAGTTAAGAAACAAAAAAGACAATTTATAACAAATGGCACATAATCATCATGTTGTAGATCTATATCCATAGAATCAAACAGCATTCAAAAAGAAGCACATCTATTTTCCCGTCTTCGGGGCGAAAACACCTGCATATTCTTCATGATAATTACTTTAGCAACCCAACTTAAACCTATGAAAACTAATTACTCCCTCCGGGCTTAAGTATAAGTAAAAAAGAACGTGTATCCGGTCCAAATGAAGACTAAATACACGATGAACAAACAAAGTAAAAGTAGAAATGAAGGGCGAAACATTGAGACGGAGCACGGGATTAAATTATGTTTCATAAAAATGTTATTACCTCCATACGGTTGAAGCAACCTGCCAGCTCTTCCAGAGTGAATACCAACTTGTGGCTTTCTTCTGCGCTCGTTATGGCCTGCAAGACGTTTACGACAGCTACGCTTACCATCATCAAATTCAGCCAGCAAATGAAACCTGGATAGTAAGCTAAACATTACAGAAGTGCTATACATATATCATAAAAGTATAGCTTTTTGTTTCAAGCTTGACCATTTTTGTAAAATGGAAGAGGATGTCTTTTCTTCTCTAAATTCACAAATCCAAAAACAAATTAGAGAGCAAAATAGGAATATTCATAAAATGAAGAAGTAACACTAACACCAAAAAACTACTAAATCTGTTTAGTACAAGAAGCTTATCCAAGAGCATAATTTGATTAATTTGAATTATAACAAAAGTTAGTAAAACCAACCTACTACATTGTTGACAAAACCTCTGCTCAATTCCATTAACAATAACCTTAGAAGTCTTTGAATGAATCTCACAAACTTTATGCCTCTTGTGATAATCTTTACAACCACTCAGATCCTTATTACATCCATACACTTGACAGTAAGCAATCTGCGAGTTCACTCCCAAAGACCGCACCCTCTTAGTTGGTGGTAACGATCCAGACGATGCGGCCTCTTTGGAGAATGATGCACCAATTTTATCTCCATGATCACCAAATCCACCAAGCTTCAAATCAATGAGTGAATTACAATCATTAGTCTCTACCAATGAGTTTGAAAGCTTGGAAGTGAAGTTTTGTTGTTCTCTTACTGAAAATGCATTTGGTCCAGCCATAACAAGAGAACTACTAGTGGCAACATCATCAACATTAGTCAATTGTTTACCCAACATTCCATGAAAACCCAATTCCTCAAAACTTTGATTGTTGTCATTTTCAATGATTTGTTGACCTAAAAAACTAGATGGGGTTTTCAAATCCCACCCCAAGATTAAACCTTTATCTTGAGAAACAAAATTCCAAGACTCCATAATAACAAGATCAAAGACCCCACTTCAATGAATACATGAATAGTATATCAAAACAGTATAAAGATTCAAACTTTGCATACCCTTTGAGAGGTATATAGAGATTACAAATTTACAACCATTGAAATAGAAGAAAAAAAAAGATAAGAACTTGAAGTTTCCTATAAGGTAAAGCAACGGTTTTTGAAGGGAAAAAGATAGATGATTGAGAGAGAGAGAGAGAGAGTGAGAGAGAAGTTGAAACTAGAGAAATGTCAGAAGGGCACGTGAAGGGAATGAAGAAAAGTGTGTGGAAAGAGGTTGGTATGGTGAATGGAAAGAGTGTGTCAGATGAAGTAGAGGAGGGAAAAACACAATGAATGTGAAAAGCATTTTGGAAAAAGAAAAGTATGAAAAAGTGAGTGAGTGAGTGAGTGAGTTAAGCAGTGTGTAGTTGAAAGTGGAAGTGGAGAGATGTGGAATGGGGTGTGAGAGTGATGGAACTCAAAGTGAAATAGAGTTGAAGTGATTCTTGAACTCCATTGAAGGTACTATTTCAAGTAAAAGGTTGCTGTAATGGTGGTTATTGTATGAGTTTAAATTATAATCTACACCGCATTCCTATGTGTAACACCGTGTGGACCAATACTTTTTTTAACATATTTAATGCAAGTTGAGAGTTAATCAATTAAAAAAAAAAAAAGAAAATTACTTGTTACTTTGATTGATTTTGTTGAAATTCTAAAATATAGAGTAATGTTTATCACAATTGTTTGATGTTGTTAAGGATGGTACATGAGCTTACACTCCTCTGGTCAACATGAGCAATACTTCCTTTGTCATAAACCCAAATATAAATGATTTGGGCACACACTCATAAAGTTATATATCAATTAATTACATTAAAACTATATTCTATTTTATGTTTCTTTTTAATTTCTTATTTATAATTTTATGTGAGTGTGCTAAATATTATGTACAAATATTTTGTGTCTATACATAATAGCTCTGGCAACATAAACCTATAAAAAATAAAGTGGGACAAATCAGTATACACTTGAGAGGGTGATTTTAAAATTTAATCACATTTAAAAAAAATTGACAATATTTCATTCCACTTTTAATATATATATATATATATATATATATATTCAGAGATGTATATCTGAATGCATCAAATATCATTTTTATATTATTTTAGTTTGAAGATGCATCTCTGAATTCATCCCAAAGGTAAACTCAGATATGCATCTCTGAATTATTTCTTGTGTGATTTTTCCAGCATTAATTTTCTAACATTGTGGTGTTTTCAGTCCAAACTAATTTTAATTTGTTTAAAATTATCGTTATTTGTTTTAACAATTAATAAAAAGAAATATTATAGAACCATGTAATGATTTAATAAAACTAAATATTATAGAAACTGAATATAATAGTAGAATAATTATTCTCCAAGTTGATGAAAAATAAACAAAATACAATCAAATGTATATTCTATTGTATATGCCTAATCCTTACACATTGGCTTCTCCTCTGCCTACAGTAAACCACATGTTGGATCTTCACGGGGAGCATCCACATTGGGTCAGTAAACCACATGTTGGATCTTCACGGGGAGCATCCACATTGGGTCAAAAGCAACACACAAGTAACGGAGACACCACATATTCCCCCAAAATCTTAAGGTGATAGATGTATGGGTCTTCTGACTTATAAAGGTCTCAACCTCCACTATTCCAAGCAATGTCAGACTAACAACTCACAACAACTCACACTTGTTCATTGTTCCCCCTCAAACATAAACTATTTCATCCACATACATGTGTACCGCTGTTGTGGGACACGCCGACTGACCACTACCATGTTAGAATTACTTTCGATACAAGGAGTCGATTCCTTAATTGAACCGTGGGCTCTGATACCAATGTTGCGTCATCACGAGGAACATCCATATTGGGTAAAGAGAAACACACAAGTGAATGAGAACATATTCACCCAAAATCTTAAGGTGATATGTGTATGGGTCTTCTCACATATAAATTGCTCAACCTCTACTATTTCAAGCAATATGAGACTAATAACTCACACTTGTATACAACACCACGACACTCTGTGCCTCAGAAAGAATGTACTATGCTAGGGTGACAACTTCATATTCACCTCTCACAAATACTTCAGACTTGATGTCCACACATGTAAGACGCATAATGGTCTGACAGCGCGGAAGCACATCAATGACGTGGTCGTCCCTGGCCTGTGCATTCTCCAGGATCTCCTCATTAGCAGGCCTAGGTGGACGACCAGGAGCATCATATGTCATGTAAGCATGTCATGTAACCATCAACATAACTCCAATGAGATGTGGCCTCATGAGTCTGATACACCACTGATACCAGACGACTCTTAAAATCTGCCAGAATATTCTTCAGGTCTCTGCAAACAATACTTATAAGAGAATCCTGGAAGGGTGACCTAAGAATGATCTACACGTACCCAAAATTCAACATGCACCGCTCGGGCAGATACCTGGACATGATGTTAGTCCCACATGTCAACCATCCAGAGTATAAGAAAATATGGTCGAATGGAACTTTGTTCTAGTGAGTACCGTATGGCCTCCATTTTACGCCGTCATGTTGAGTCCTGTCAATATACAGACGGTATGATAAGTAATGATCATTCCCTCTGTAACACCTGATAGGAAAAATAGCAAGTGCACTATTTTGTCCCTTAAAATAATCAATAAATTCCCTGAATGTCGATCTCAAGGACTGCGTATCAATATTGAGTTCAATTTGTGATTCAATTAGACAAAACTTGAATTGGGATTTTGGTTTAGAAATTGTCACTTAATAGAAATTAAAAATAAGCAGAATGTAAATTACGGCTTTTCGCAAGTATGAACAACATGCTAGAGTGTGGTGTGTAATTTGCCCTGTAACAACATTGAATCCTGATTTCTTTAACAAGTTCATAACATTCAACTACCAGCCTTTTAGATTATTTTTCCCTAAGTCCTTGGTGAGAAAACCTTTAACCATCCATTCTAAATCCTAAGTCCTTAGAGATATCTGATGGAGTCAAGCCTTTATTTTATCAAGGGTTAAATCCGGTAACTATAGGGTATCCCTAGTCCTAGGTGATATCTACTATAGACTAATCATACAAAAACCTTAATAATCGTAGTCCAGCTGGTTGTTAATTGTAAATCAATCTGAATTGGTCCGATCAAGAAAACACGAAAATGTTGCATGATTAAATTGAATAAGAAAACAACTTTATTAAAGAACTCAGGAATTCATAATCATTATAAATTCAAATCAGGGGCATCCCCTAACATTGGTGGGATTAGATACTCATATTATTCAAAGGAATTTCAATGATATAAAGATTAAACATTACAGATAAATGATGAACATTGATCTTCAATTGCCGCGGCTCATGAAAAATCTTTGTCCTCTAAGAATCTCATATGTTTCTCTCTTCAATCCTCAATTCTTCGTGTGGCAAAAAAGTCTCAGTTTTCATCGTGGAAACTTGGCTAAATAGTGAACAATCCATTTATCTCGGACTAAAATGCCCAAAACTCCTCTTTGGGTCTCAAATCATGAAAAATCATTAAAACACTTAAAATCAGTGTCACTGGCCGACACGGCCGCCCGTGTCAAACCCTGTTTTCCAGGCTTTCCAAGTCTTCCCCTGACATGACCCGTGTCAGGTTCCACGGCCACCTGTGTCAGGGCTCTTGTAACATTTCCTCCGCAACTTTGAATTATGCACTTTTTCGCCCCGATTTGTGCTATTTTATTCTTATGAACCTGAAAACACTAAAACACAAAACCAAAGCATAATATGCAATAAAACAAAATAAAAACTCGATAAGTAAAAGAAATGATAACTGAAATAACTTCTAAATATATGTCTAAAACCATTGATCAAACTCCCCCAAACTTAAACCATTGCTTGACCTCAAGCGACCATTACAAGAACTCATGAAAATCAGAGCATCCTGGTACTCATACGCGAGACATCCATTCAAATTGATCAAAAAGAAGTCTATTTGATGTTCACATGATGCAAAGACTCTGTGTAGGAATCTTTAAACCTCGAGCTTCCTCTTCAGATACCTCTCTAACTATGCTTTGTACTTAAGTCTTTTTCTGATTTTCCCTTTTTTTCCTTCAGACTGTCAAATTAAGGCAATGAGAATTTTTTATGATCATCACACACAAGACTAATAAAAAAAAATTTGTTCAGGCACCAAATTAGAGCTTTTTCTCCTTTTTAAATTCAAATGAAATTTTCAAAACTTTCCAATTTATATATTGTCCTTTATGGACGACATTTGGGGATCAACCCCCTTTAGGCTGAATAACCTGGTGAGGGCTACCCAACTTAGAGAGTCAGTTTCCTTTTACTGACTTTTCATCATTTGGTACCAACTTTATTTATTTCTCAATCAATCATACCTGCATGTGAATCTATATTATGGCAGACTGTAAAGATAAACTATTCAAGGAGTACATCTTAGGATTCAAGCACTATGGTACAAATCTACACGTTAGACTCGTATCACTGTCACGTTATTCCGAACTTCCTATCCTCGAACAACCATCCATTTGTGTCAATATACTATTCTCGATCTCTATGAAATACAAACTCTTGAGCAAAACAACACAAAAATTTGGTCCAAATTTGGGAAGGACTTCAACTCGTGGATTTACACCGCAATTAGCAAAGAACCAACAAAATAACTCGAAAAGAAAAGCAGTACCCCCCCCCCCAAACTTGAACTAAACATTGACCCCGATGTTTGAGAACAAGCTCAAGAAGGTGACTCACAAAGGATAATGCAACACCAGCTGCTGCCTCCTAACTTTCACTAGTAAGGCTCCCTTTTTATTACCTATAGACAAAATGAAACAAACACAAAAAGAAAAAAACATTTATTAAAAATGTGGGTTGCCTCTCACAAAGAGCTTCGCTTAATGTCGCATGAATCGACGATTCATCCCCTTATGAGG